GATATGCAGATGATACAACCTTGCTTGCTGAAAGTGAAGAGGACTTAAAACATTTACTGATGAAGATCAAAGAGCACAGCCTTCAGTATGGATTACATCCCAATGTAAACAAAACAAAAATACTCACCACTGGACCAATGAACAACATTCTTATCAATGGAAAGAAGATTGAAGTTGTCAAGGACTTCATTCTTCTTGGATCAACCATCAACTCTCATGGAAGCAGCAGTTAAGAAATCAAAGGACATATTGCATTAGGCAAATCTGCTGCACAAGACCTTTTTAAAGTGTTGAAGAGCAAAGATGTCAACTTGAGGACTAAGTTGCGCCTGACCCAAGCCATGGTATTTTCAATAATTTCATATGCATGTGAAAGCTGGACAGTTAATAAGGAAGGCAATAGAAGAATTGATGCTTTTAAGTTATGGTGTTGGAGGAGAATATTGAAAATGCCATGGGCTGTCAAAAGAACCAATAGATCTGTTTTGGAAGAAGTGCAGCTAGAGTGCTCCTTGGAGGCCAAGATGGTCAAACTTCGTCTCTCATATTTTAGACATATTGTCAGGAGGGACCAGTCGCTGGAGAAGGATATCATGTTTGGTAAGGTGGAGGTTCAGAGAAAAAAAAGGAAGACCCCCACCAAGATGGATTGGCCAAGTGGCAACATTGATGGACTCAAGCATGACAACAGTAGTGACGTTGGCCCAGGATCATACAGTGTTTCATTCTGCTGTGCATAAGGTCGCTATGGGTTAGTACATAACAACAATATACCTGCTCATTCTTTGACAGTAGCAAGGACTGTCCTACGAGAATTTCATTGGGAACACTTATTCCTGCTACCAAAGCTCTCATCTTGCTCTTTCAGACTTCTTTTTGTTTCCCAACTCAAAGAACATTCAAAAGGAACACAGTTTGAGTTCTTTGAGGATGCCAGAAACTGCTATTTAGATAAAAGAGTGCAGAATTCTTAAAAGAAAGGTTAGCGAGCTAGAAACACTGCCTTCAAAAGTGTCTAGACCAAAACGGAGGATATGTCAAAAACAACAGCTTTACATTTTGATATTCTTATTTAATTAAGGTTTCTATGATGTTGTAGCAGTACTTTGTTTTCTGATATTAGGAAGCGTGGAGGCTACAAACAAATTAGACTGCCCTGGGCAATTCCTTCCTGGCCTGTTGTGAGAGCTGACTCTCACTTTCCAGTTAGTCTTAAGATTTCTCTAGAAGGATGGTGTCTCTCATTGCTGCATTTCTCCTAACCATTACAAACCTACTAGTTGCCATGAAGTTGATTACAATTCCTGGCAGCCTCCTCATGTGTGTCAGAGTATAACTGTACTCCAAGAGGTTTTCAATGGCTGGTTTCTCACCAGACTGCTGAATTGTATCACCAGACCTTTCTTCTGAGATGTCTTTGGATGAATTCAAATCATTAACCTTTTCATTAGTAGCTGAACATGTTAACTGTTTACATCATCTAGGGACTCCCAGTCATGAGAGATGGTGGTGGTGGTAGTGTGCCATGTGGTCATTTCCGACACATAGTGACCCTGTATAGGGTTTGGTGGTTGGTGGTTATGTGCCATGGAGTCAGAACCGACTCATAGCGACCCTGTACATGGTTTCTGAGGCTGTAAATCTTTACGGGAGCAGAAAGCCTCATCTTTCTCCCAAGAATAACTGCTGGTAGTTTCAAACTGCTGACCTTAAGGTTTACAACAGAAGGCTGCAAATCGTTACAGGAGCAGAAAGCCTCATCTTTTCCTGTGCAGCGGCTGGTAGTTTCGAACTGCTGACCTTGAAGTTAGCTGCCCGACTCATAACCACTATGCTACCAGAGTCCTCTCTAATAGTTAACACTAATCCCTCCTATTGCAGTCACTGGTTTGTGTGTACCTTCAGAGAAAATCTCTTTATGCAATCACATTTTCAAATTAAAATCACAGGTCTTTCTCACTGCATTCTGCTAGTTTATGTCTCCATCCCATTGATCCCTCTTTAGGGCTATTGTTCCTAAAGTCTAGGAAGCACCTATATTCCTTGAGAATGAAGGGAAGAGAGAAACAGGAGTCCTAAGCCTGGTGCTGTAGGATAAGCACTGGACTGATAACCACAAGATCAGCAGTTCAAATCCACCAGCCACTCTCAGAAACCCTATACAGGGTCACTATGAATCAAAACTGACTCAATAGCACACAATAGCAAGCCTTAGGCAGAAACAAAAATAGGGTGTCAGTAGTTCAACTTCTATTAGGTCAACCATAAAGTACCTAATATGAGCCTCTGAGTTCTGATCCTAAGAATGGGCAGGGGCAGCAGGCCATGACACTGTGACCTCCCCATTTAGCTACTGCACTTAACCACAAGAAAACAAGGCTGGAGGACTAGGGTCATAGTTTAGGAAAGGACCTGGGAACTAGAGAATGTTTTTCCATGCCAACCACAGGGAGGCGCTGTGTCCCCATGGACTAGAACAACAAGGTAGGGAGGCCAGTCAAGGACAGTAAGCCCCTTCACCCGTGCTCCCAGCAAAGGGCATTTCTCTCTCTCTGATTTGTTATCCTGAAGTTTATATATGGAAGATATGGTCCACACAATCACCGCCCATCTTACACACCCGCCTATACAATAAACATGCATACACACTCACATATATACACATACATTTTATTCGTTCCCACTTCTGAAGATTACCCTGCTATGAGTGTTATCTAGGTATACAAATGTGCAGAAAAGACCTGCTTTCCCTCCATAGGGCACAACAGCAGCCTGTAAAGATTACAGTTCTTTGCCTTTTCCTCATCCTTTGCCATTTGAGCCAGTTGACCCCAATTGTAAACGCCTTTTCTTTAGTGTGTTGTTTAAACATTCTTTGCTGCCTGCATCCCACTACTCCATAACCTGTTAGTCACCCATCCCCACTTAGGCTCCTGGCCTACTGCATTTAAAATAGACCTAGTCCTGTGGGAAAGAGAGGTAAAAAGCTCAAGACTCAAGAATGTATTCCAGGCTCCACTTCTATGTCAATCAGTGTGTCAGTACTAGACATCAAACTGCTTTAGTCCTCAGCTCAGTTTCATTGAAGAAAGGGTATAGTTGCCCATGGGGTTTTTATAAAGCAGTCTGGCAAATGACCTTAGTAATATTCTATCCACAGTACCCTTGCCAATGATGCTACAAAGCACCTTCTCATTTATGTTTTTGTATCTCAAGAATCAGCCTGCAACAGAATCAGCGTGCAACAGCTGCAAAATACCTGAAGTCTCTTGATGGTAACTGTTCATATTTGTTGAAAAGCTCCTCGGAAAATCACAAACATAATCTACTTAGTTCCCAGGTTTCTCGGGTGAGCAGGAATTCTCGAGGAAACTTTCCTTTTTGCTATGACCTTCCAATTGGGGTGAACTGTGAGAAGACATCACCAATAGTGACTGCGTGAGCCCTGGTCTGTGTGCTCAGATGAACCAGCTCAATGGAGCTTAGTTTTCCTAGTCCTGGTGTGACGCTGTGGGTTAATGCACCAGACTGCAAAGCTCTTTGAACTGCAAGGTTGGTGATTCAAGCTTACCAGCTGCTTCTTGGAAACCCTAAACAGGGTCGCTATTGGGCGACAGCACTTCACAACAGTCTCATTGCTTTCTTGGGTGTGTGTGTGTGTGTGGTTCTGTGCAGTAGCTGTACGAGGAGGTCATCATGTCATGATCTACAAAGGATACTGCAAGAAGGTATGCCACAAGATATCCGTGGGTACTTTAGTGAGCTTTCTCTAAAATCACAATGGAGGTATCTCTAAAATCCTATGGCATTACATAATGATCTTGAACTTATAAGGAAGTCATCTAAGATCTAAGTGACCCCTCTCTCCCAAGTTTGAAAAGACTGGCTATCAGGTTCAAGGGTAATAGTGGAACAGGGACCAGTGACTACAGGATCCTGTTTTATGAAGTGTCTGTGCTACATTAGCTCCCTCTCATGACTTATATAACTTTAAGAAGAAAATGGGAGCATTGGACAGAGAGAAGATAGAGCAAGGGGCATGATGCAGGCATAACTAGACAAAGAATGATAACAGTGCTCAGATTCCTCTAGTTTATTGTTACAGCAGGAGTTGTGGGAGACAGGAGGGCAGCCTCCACACACATCACAGTGTGGTCAGAGCCCCAGGGCAGCCCTTCCCACTTCTATGCCAAGCCCCAAGCAGCTTGGTCCAAGCTTGGCCCCCTCCCCCATCCCACACTAGACACACACTGATAGCTACCAAAGTTAGTGCAGCCAAATGGCCCCAGGCCCCTATTGCTCTACCTCCAGCCCTTGCCCAACACTCATTCCTTACCCACCATCTCCTATTCCATCCAATTTCCTTTACATATACTGATGTTCTATCATATCCTGAGGGACACTAACCCACCAGCAAGCATCCCCTGACAAACATTCATTCAGGCTCTGAATTCAGAGACCTGAAGGGTTCATGAGAAGCCACATCAGCTTTGGGAATAGAGTCCCAGACCCAAGGCCTCTCTCCACTGCAAATGTAAGTAGGGAGACTCTGATTGACTTCCTTCCTTCCAGATGGACTGGCTTCACTTTCCTGCCCCAAGGACAACTACAACAGCCTCCTATCCGTCATCTAAGGATACCTACACCAGGAAGAAGGGATATATGCCCTCTCTACCTTATGCCAAAATGGGGTGGGGGTAACTTAGGGGTCTGGGTCCTTAAGAGATATTAGGGCATCTCTCCCAGGAGCTGGGGGGAATCACAGGTTAGAGGTCAAGGTTAGGGTAACAATCCAAGATCAAGGTTGTCTCCTGCATGATCGGCCCATCTTCCCTTGCTCACTCTGGCCCAGTGCCCTTATGCACCTCCCAGGTTAGTTCTAAAGGAGGTGAGGGCTGGGTAGCACATTCAACAGGAGACCTCCATGGTGTGCCCCGGAGGCCCTGAAGGGAGAGTCCCAGACTCGCTGCTCTGGGACAGAGTACGAGAACGGGAGCGGTTGAGATCAATGGATGCTGCGCTGGTCAGGGAGGCGGTACGAGACCGGGACAGGCGAGTCATGCAGGAAGAGGCCACTGTGGAGACAGAAGAATAACCAGGCAGTCAAAAAGGTGGTGGGTAAGGAGGCTGGCAACTCAGAGTAGAGTGCTTGGGTGGAGACAAGAGTTGTAGCTAGGGGGTCAATGAACTTGACTTGGCAGATAGTGGTGAGTTCAGGAATCGACCTAAAATGGTCCAACCCTTCTGTTCTTAACCCTCGTCCTCTGGCCCTCATACTCACTGTAGCCCATGCCTTGCAGGAAGTACTTGAAGGCTTCGGTCAACTTGCCTGGCTGTGGAGATACGATGAGAGGGAGTTCAGTGGGGTCATATTAGAAGCTAAGCTGGACTCTAAGGTCATGGCACATGTGGGCATGGGATGTGAGGCAAAGAGCAGATTCAGTGTCACTAATATCCTATCCCACCCCATAACCCGTGGACAGCAGGGGTACTCACCTGAGTCAACTGGGGCTGACCTCCGGAGTCAGCCATCTGTTCAAAAGAGAGCCACTCAGAAAGAATGACAGGCACATAAAGAATTCACATGACACACACAAGCACAGAGGTAGCATAGCAGCTCTCTTTCCTAGTTTGCTCACTCCAGCCCCTTAGATTTTTTTGGAGTTTTTTTCTTCATTCATCCCACTTGCTCCCATGCAGGTCCCTGGAAGCCTAGAAACTGAATCTAGGAAGGATATAAGGCTGAAAACCCGGGGCAGGAGTTAAGCTTGACTTGAAGTAGGACTACTGACCTTGAGGAAAGAGGTCTGGGTGGGATCCAGTTTTGAGTTACATTCCACCTAGAATAAGTAGGAGGCTAAATGAATGAGGTCACACTCCCTGAGGCCCCTCCTCTCCAAAGGACCCAGTCCCTTTCCTACTAGCCTCCTACCCATTCCCTATCCCCTTAATTACCTAGTTACTCTTCCTGTCCCAGACAGATATTCCTCTGACCACCACACTAGGGGCTCCAGCCCTCCTCCCTCAGCCCCAAACCTCCCTACTGACCACTGCATCTTCGTGAGGTGCTTGGTCTCCTACCACCAGCATCACAGGGCACCTGGGGGCATAGCATCAAGGAAGAGGCAGTGAGCCCCTGGCACTCCATCACCCACCTCTTGCCAGAACAGTAGCTGGAAAAATGTCTGGCTCCAAAGAAGAAACAGTCTTCTGGATCCTACTAACCCCACTGAGAAGATTCTAAAAAGGGGGCAGACCTCAGAGTAATGATATGCCAAACAGGATGGGGTAAGAGATGACAAGGAAATTCCCTGGCAAAAGACTCTCCTTCTTCTAAGGGTATAAACACTTAGGAAAGATTCAGGGAATTGGTGCACAGTTTTATCTCTTAAAGTCTTACTTGAGTGTGATATCACCTCCGCGCTCAAAGTTCAGATCTCGGCGACTAGAGAGGGTTTAAAGAAGGAGTCAAAATTTTAGGCAAGCAATGCGATCCACTGAGATGTAAACTATCTTCCCCAATAAGAGTCTCTTCCTCCCCAAAATCATGGTCCAATATTGGTGATTTAAAGTGGGGGCTGAAGGGGCTGATGGCAGGCAGGCCATAAGCATAATCCATGAAGTCACTTGTGCCTCAGATGCTTATTGGAGGGCATAGAACACAGGATCCGCTTATTTCTGGGAATCTAAAAGCCCAAAGGGATAAACAGGAGAAAGGGGATGGCTCCTCACAGCTCTGTCCACTGGGTCTGCCCCATAACTACCCCACTTGCATACTAAATCCTGCCCTTCTTGCACATATTGAACTTACTAGATTTTCGTCTCCTCCTCTGTGCCTCCCTCTGGCTGCCAGCTACTGCTTTTACATTGTTCTCTCTCTCTCTTTCTCACACATATACACACACACTGCCCACTCACTTGTTGTAGCTATTCCAGTACAGCTCAATGTTCTCCAGGTTGGGTGCATGGGTAACAATATTTCTATACTTTTGTACCAGCTCAGAATTTCCAGACAGCTCTTCCTAAAGCAGACAATGGGGAGAGAAAGCAGGAGTAAGAAGAGATGCCCACAGTTATTAAATGAGAGGAGGCAAGCTTTATTTCTTCCTAAGATCCTGCCCCATCTAGGATCATCATGCCAAGCAATCAAATCCCTGCTGGTCTCCTTCACAGCTACTTACCTGGCTGAAAAGATGTCCAAGGATCATCTCCGGAATGGAAGAGGTGAAGCCAGTTAGCTATGAGGAAAGGGCAGGTGAGGCATGACTCGGCATTATGGGAAAAAGAGATCCAGACAAAGCCACCAGTCCTATCTCATTGGGTCCAATGACACAGCTTCACTTCCCTGCCCCATCATCCCCTCCTTAAAGTTGAGGACCATTCAGTTGGGCCGATGGAGCTTAGCTGAACCTATACAAGGGGAATGAGTCCCCATCCTAGATCTCAACACACAGCACCCTCCAAACCTTGTGGGCGGCCCAATCCATCCAACCCTTGGCATTGGGATCGATGTTGATGAGGACAAGGCCTTCAACTGTGTCTGGGTGGGTAAGCTGATGGCAAAAGAAAGTAAAATTAGACACAGGACATGGTCTAATCCCCTTCTTCATTGAGCTCCATGCACTCTTGGGCCTCCCTCACACTCACGTCCCTTTCCAAACACACACTAGTGAACAATACTCTCCACATCAGCCAGCCACGGGCCCTAAACCCTCCTTTCCCTCTTCTGAGGATTTGTATTTCTTACAGCATATCGTGACAGGATGTAGGCTCCAGCTCCAACACCAACTCCAATTATGGTAGAGAAACTGTGAAATGAAAATTCTTGTCTAATGTGTCCTGGTGTCCAAGACCTGCTACAACCCAAACTCTTTACCCTCCTTCCCAAGGCCATGGGCACAAAGAAAGATAAAATGTGACCTTCCTTTGGGGAATGCTGAAAAAGGAGGGTGCCAAGGAACTAAAGATCCGGCACTGCTAGTCCATGTAGATCCCTGGAGTTTATTCCCAGCTCCCTCTCTGAGAGCTGGTATCTTGAAAAGAAGCATTCATACACCCACCCACCCAAGACACACTGTTTTCCTATATAGATCTTTGCCTTTCTCAATTGTCAAGAGCTAGTTCAACTTGTTCTGTTTTAGTTCCTAGTTCCTCTGCAGTAATGGGGAAAAGGGAACTTTAAACCAGATGTGAAAGACATCACAGCTTTAGTAAACAACAAGGAGAATAGGAAAAGGCAAAGAAGTACACCAAAGCAACATAAGGCTACGGGCCCTAGGAAAAGCCATGCCAAGAAAAGACCCCAGGAGTCATCAGTGCCTCACTCTGGATGCCAAGGAAGCCTCCTCTGGATTTCTCTTCCTCTTCCCACTCTCTCTCACACACTGGGCTCCCAGTTCCCAGGTATGTGTGAGGAGGGTGGGAAGTGAGACAGGTCTATCAAGTTCCTCCCTTCCCTTCCTCCCTAGCTTCCTTGTTAGAGAAGCCCCTCCCCAGCCTGAAGCAAAGCCAAGCATTAGGGCTACTCTGCTGACTTTAGCTAATTATCTAACAAGGTCATCAGTTCGAAACTACCAGCTGTTCCACAGGAGAAAGATGAGGCTTTCTGCTCCTGTAAAGATTTACAGCCTCGGAAACTCTGTGCAGGGTCGCTATGAGTCGGAACCAACTCCATGGTACATAACAACAACAACATAGAGGAGGAAGGCTATATTAGGCTAAGACATCAAATCTGGCCCAGGAACTATGATGGAGTTCTACTGGCTTGTATTGAAGAGGGAACTCTGGTTTGAAGGAGTTCCCAAGTCTCTCACTTTAAGTACTGCAGGATGCATGGGATCATGTCCGCAAGCTGGTCCAGAGATGGGTACTGATATCTGGGGAAGAGAAGACTGTTAAGAAAGGTATCTACCTGTCCCCATTCCCTCCACCTCAAGATGACCTACTCATTCTCTCCCAGAATCACCACAACCCACCCCACTTCCCTCCTCTCCTGGCTCAACCTACCCTACACCGACCCTGTGCCTCACAGTCTAGTCACAGAAGAAGAATCTAATTCTCACCCCAAGGGGAACACTGGAGCCCCTTCTTGCATTCCAGGGGCATCCACATGAACCCGCACGAAGTTCTGAATGATTTCCTGCATATCCCCAAACTGAAACAGCGACTGGAAGCAGCTCTTATCTAAAGAGAACCACATCACCCCAACAGTATGATCAGACAGGGAAAAGTGTTCCCTGAGTCAAAACCCAACCTCTTTCTTTCAAGCCACAGTCAGACTAGGAGAGAGTTTCCCCCTTGCTAAACCATATGGCTGCCTTCCTTCCCACACCGACCCCTCACCCTCACTCTGGGTTTTTACCCCGAAGCCTCTTCCCAGAAAGGAGTAGGAGGGGGAGTGGAGATCCTTACAGTTGAGTCCCACATCGTGGTAGGTGAATATCGCTGGGCGTTTGGGTTTGGGGGTGCCATAGACAGTAAAATTGACAGAGCCATAAGGTGTTTCCACTGAGTGAGTCTGCAGGAAAACAGGCCAGAGTTAAGTTAAAAACAGAAGAAGGCAGGAGAAAGGGCTACACCAGTATCAAGAAGTTATGGGGAGGAGGCAAGAGAGAGAAAGGGAAACAGAGGGTTAAAAACAAGGTCATCAAAGATTTGGTTTAGGAAAATATGACCGTGGAATGAGTTTGAGGGTGGAACAGATGATGAAAGAGAAAAGTAAAGGAGAGAGGAGAGTTAAAGAAGGGAAGCCCTGGAATAAAAGGAAAGGAAGTAAGGAGAAGAGAAAGAGACAGTTAGGGACCCTCTCTCAAGTCAGGGAGAGGAAATCACCTTCTCCCACCCTGTGAATGCCCCAAGCTGTTACCTGTCCCTGGTCCAGGAGGATTCGGGCAGCTAACTCAGCCTCCTAGAGAGACATACACAGATAGACACACGCAGAAACACACAACCACAGAGAGTCACAGATGGAGAGAAAGACACGGATAAAGAGAGACCAAAGACAGTAAGAGATTGACAAAAAGAGACATGGAGAGGATGAAGGTTAGTGTAGTGACAGGACAAGGGCTTGGATTCCCAGTTGCAGTGGATGGGGAGAGAGACATGGGTAGAGGTGGAGTATGTAGTCGTGTGTGTTAGAATGAGGTCAGTGGACGTGGGATGGCAGGAGGTGAAGGAGATGCTTGGGGGTCTAGAATTATGCACAGGGAGTCAAAGGGTCTCTACTAACCTTGGCGACCTCAGGTGTCTGTCCTGGCAACAGGGGCTTCTCCTCTGTGATCTGTACCTCCTGCAGCTCCGCCATGGTGGCCTGGCAGGTTGGGGAAATAAGACTGTGGGCTGCTGCCTATATCCCCACCACCCTCACATCTCTCCGAGTATCTGGCTCCCTTTTTCAGCACAGTGCAACATATAGAGGGACCCAGAGAGACCCTAGTATACCCATACAACTTGTCCTGACCCTGGCTGACTTCCAGGCTGACAGGGGCAGGGGGGATGTGTGGGAAAGGAGTCAGGACACCACTTCTCACCATACTGGCCACCCCCACTGCTGCCCCCTCAACACTGCCATCCTGGATGGAAACACCAGGGTGGGGCAACTGTACAGCTCAGGTTTCCCAGGCTATATTTAGGGGCCACCCCACACTCCCAGTTAGGTAGACGGTAAAACTCGTGGCTCAGGGACTGGCTATTCCAGTGATACCAAGGGACGGGATAGTAAGTGATCACAATTGACTGTCACCTTCAGCTAATCCCCAAGGTCAGCAACTCAGAGGGGAAGGAGCCAAAAACGACCAGAATGACATGACCAAAAACGAGGGTCATCTTTGACCCACCTAGCTGGTGCCTCCCTTCCTCCCAGGGTTCTCCCTCCTGAATGAATACATTCGCAGGCATTCCACATTAGTGGGGTTGGTGAGGGGCAGAGCACCTGTGCAGAGCCAGAAGCTCAGGGGGTGGGGTCACTTACAGGACTCCTATTGGTTGGAGGCAGTGGGGTTAGAGGTCAGGGTTCTCCTCCTGGCTCTGGGGTCTGTGAAAAAAGCTATGAGGTGAATGACCTGGGGACTAGAATCCGGGCTTTTTACAGAACTTTAGTCCAGATCTAGACTCCCCAGGTTACTAACCCTCCCCGGGTCACTAACCCTCCCCAATCTTTGCCACCTGAGTCCAGAGAACACTGGCCTCCAGGTTTCAACGAGAATCAATACAGGCTGAAGGGGCCTGCGGGCCCGAGAGCAGGCATTAGTTCAGTTTGGGGGGTGGAGAGAAAGAAGTGCTGATGTGGAGAAAAGAGGATGGCTTGTGTCAGAACCTCTGGATTTTAGTCTCGACGCCGCGCTGCCCACGTGACCTTGGCCCAGTCACTAACGACTCTTGCCTCAGTTTCCTATCTGCAAACTAGAAGGAGGGGCAAGGAGATCCCCGAGATTTTTGACAGCTCTCGAGTGACAGGAAATAACAGAACATGACTGTTCCCTCCTCCATTTAAAAACAAACAAGAAAAGCCTCGTGTCTTCGCTTCTCTTCTCCACCCAGTCTAGTCTGTGTAGATTTCGCAACTGGAGAAACAGGGGCAGGGAGATGGGGAACAGTCCCACAATCTCCTCCTAGCCTCCCCTGACGACCCGCGGAGGCCGAGCGCCCGCTGCTCAGAAAAGATGGGTGGGACGAATGGGACAAACCAGACCCCTACGATTCTGGACACGCTGACTGTCGGTGTGGGGACCGACCGACAGCCTCGCGCGCCGGGCGCCAAGAACCCTGGACGCACGACCCAACCTCGCGCCCGCCCCAAACACGTTCCAACGCTCGCCAAGCCGCCGCCTTTGTGCGCAGTAGCCGAGCGCCCGCTTCCTGCTGGCTCGGGTCCCCGAACCGTCAGCACCGGAGATTCGGATCAAAGAGACCCTGGGCCCGGCGGGCCCCGCGCAGGCCCCACGGTCCCTCGCTGCCCCTCCCCCTACCTGCTGCCGCCGCGGCCGCTTCCACCTTCACTTGCCTTTGACTCTCCGGCCCGCCCCGGCTCGGGCTCCCCCACAGACCCGCCCCCGACCCGCCCCGGCCTGCCCACGGGCCCATAGCTCCCGACAGACCCGCCCCGGACCCCCTGTAAACACGCCCCACGGGCTGCGCTCCGGGAGGGGCAGTGCTGGGGAAGGAGGGGGCTCTAAAAAAACAAACTGCTGGATGCTTGAAGGGTCTGCTTGCGCTCATCACAACATCCCCCACCCCAACGGTGCAATGGGGAGTGTACTAGGATCCCTCCGACCTGCTAGGGATCCCCTTGCCTGCCCCACCGCCCTCAGCAGTGACCAGGATCTGCCTGCCTCACTCGCGCTCTTTCCCTAGTTCCCAGACTCGGGGTAGAGGCGGGGAGATGGGAAAACAAAATCAGGGGGCTAACACCCCTAGATTTTGACTCCGCCCGCCCGGAACAGAGAGTTAGGTTAAAGAAGGAGAAGGTGGGTGGGGATCGTGGCTGAGGAGGCCCCGGGTCTCGTCTGCTAGGAGGGACAAGTGTGCCAGTAGGGTCGTCTAGGGCTCCAGAGCTCCGACTCCGGGGAGCCCAGGGTACTGGTACCTCCTCTCGGCTGCGTCCGGGCGCCTGCTCTCCCGCGGCTCCGTGAGAAGTTGGAAAACAAGGCGGGGCGGCGGGGGGGGTGAGCGCAAAGGGGGGGGGTCGCTATAAATAGAGGGAGATCTCAGGCGAGGGGGAGGGGGAGAGGATGGCCAACGGGGACTCCCGGGTCAAGGCCCCAAGGGGGGCTGGGGGAGCGGCCGGGGACCCCCAAGGACTCTGACTTCTGGGTAAACAGGCGTGGGGGCGGGGTTAGCCACGTGGGGGTGGAGTGGGGGCTTGAGGAGGACGCAGTGTCCCGGGCTGGAACCCAAGAGACCCTGTGGCTTTGGAGCTAACCCCTCCCAGTCGGGCTCAGAGTAGGAGGGCGAGACCAGCTTGGCCTTACTAAATCTCAATGCCCAGGCATCGGTGTCTCCGGGACTGTCGCATCTTTCGGTGCCTGAGTGGTTTGTTATCCCAGTTTCCTCAACTACCTTGTGCCCCTCAGAGGAAGGCTCTCTGGAATAGGATGGGTGCTGTGGCTAAGGGCATTCGAAGTTGTCTTAATTACCACCACCACACACACAACTAACAGGATCCTAACTCCCCACTCCCCTCCGGCCTGATTTGCCATTTCGGGGGCTGGGCACTCAGCCAGTTGGAAACAATGGCTAATGGAGCTAGAGCTGCCAACTGCAACCACTGCACAGACTGCCCCCCCAAGACCCCCAAATTGCCCTTTCCCCCCTGCCTGGGAACCACCACCCGCAACCCTCCCCCATCCAAGGAGCATCAATGCCCCTTTCATCCCCACTTGGCAGGGTCTGTTGGAAAGAGGGAGGGACCAAAAGGGAGGCGGTGACCCAGTAGAGCTGGTCAAATCAAACTCAGCCTTCAGTTGCCCCAAATCGAAAGGGCTTCTTATATCCCCCAATTTGGGGCACCTATATTTTCCTCTATTGCTTTACCACAATCCCTTCATAACTATTTCCCTAGAAACTGCCATAGAAGCAGGGAGTTTTTGCCCCTCACCTAGTTCCCTCTTGTTCTGGATCCCAGTTTAACACTCTCCAGGACAGGGAAAAGATTGCAGGAATTGGGAACATAGTAAATATGTCTAGAAAAGGAGAGAGATTTCACCAGGTCTAAGTCATCATCAACTTGACAGTGGGAGTGGACCCAGGGAAGAAAGAGAACTTAGAGAACTTTTGCCTACAGCCTTCTCGGATTTGTCCAAAGAAGTCTGTCTTGGAGTGGGGGAGGGAGAGAGACTTACAGGTTCCAGCATCTAAATTAGTCTCTGGGTCAGGATGACTCAGGGGGAACCTGATAAGGGGCCTACGCAGGGGCCTAGGCAGGGAAGAGGTGGGAAATTTCCACTGGTATCCATTTGCTTCCTAGACCTAGGGGTCCCAGCCTGTTACAGGCAGAAATGAGGCTGATTCTGTTCTAAGATAGGGTTTCTCTTTGTTAGGGGAACTCCTGGCCCATTTTCCTTTAGGAACATATTCAAACAATGCCTTCAACTAAACAACATTTTTAAGTAGCTGCTATATGCAAGTCACTGTATACATGATGTTGTTAAGTGCTGTCAAGTCAGTTCCGACCCATAGCGACCCTGTATAGGATTTCCAAGGAGTGGTCAATGAGCTTGAACCCCTGACCTTGCGGTTCAAAGGGACTTTGCAGTCCAGCGCATTAACCCACAGTACCCCAGGAGGAATTAAAGAAGTGTGAAACCATGTCATACCCTCTCTGGAAGCTGTTGAGAGGAGGTATAAAGACAGAGAAAGGTAAGAAGAATGATGCATGTTGTTTTTAAGTGCAATTGAGTCAGTTCCGACTCATAGGGACCCTGTATAGGATTTCCAAGGAGCCGCTGGTAAGTTTGAACTGCCAACCTTGCAGTTCAAACCAATCCTGCAATCCAGTGCTTATCCTACAGCATCACACTAGGATTATATATAAAATATAGAGAGAGTATATATATGTGTGTGTGTGTGTGTGTGTGTGTGTGTGTGTAATCAGTTGTTTAAACAAAAAGTTCTATTATAGCAGTAGTTTCTCACCTGTCTCAGAGATTACCATGCCTATATGATGATGGTGTTAGTATCTTCTGACAGAAAACACCTAAAGACAAACTATGAATTTAGCAATACTTTGAAAGAAATTTGTACAGTATTGAGAGTCATAACAACTATATATACAGTAATAATGACAAGTGCAAGGCATATTCTTTACACGCTTACTGATCAATGCTCTGTGTGCATATAGACTTCCAGGGATCCATCAATAATTCAGAAATCCTCACCCCACAGGTTGGAAGCCATCATCTAGCTCTAATTCAGAGGAGGAAAGGGCTCTGCTCATAGAGTGCAATCATGGAATATTCAAGTAGAGAAAGGGGCTTTCTATCCAGGCTGAGAGCACGAGGGAAAGTTTAAAAGCAGAAATACAGAAGTTACTCTTTACAATTGAATACTAGCTACTATGTGCAAGATACTTTCCATGGATTATTTTAAGGTAAAGTATTATCACCCCCACTGTGCCAATGAGGAAACTGAAGTTCAGAGATGTTTAGTGACTTTCCCAAGACCACTCAACCAGCAATGACCTATGCCTAAGATTCAAATCCCCCACCTCCATCCACTCCCAATCTATTCCATTCCTTTCCACAACCAGGTAGCCTCCTGTAAGGTCCAGAGAGAGCTGAAGACTAACGTGGTGAGAGGTGGGTGATGTTCAGTAAGTAGATTGGGGCTAAACTGTGTAGGTCCTTGAATGCCAGGCAAAAGGTTTGGCAATAAAGAGTCATAGAATGTTGTCAAGCAGGAATATTGGGTAGAAGAAAAAACAGTTTTATGAACTTTAATCTGGTGGAAGGGGTTTAATGATAGATCATGCGGTAAATGGGAGTGAAGCATTAGGCTTGGGGAAGAAGTCATTTCGAAGCTAAGGTAGTCTCTAGATTTGAGATGACAGGACTTGAAAAAGAATGAAAGCTATAGGAATAGAAAGAAAGGAATCAATTTATAAGGCAAAGTAAAAATCATTTAATAAGAATCAGTGACTGGTTAGATAGGTCGCAAGTTACCAATCTAGCTGCTTCATGTTAGTATCCCTGAAGTTCATCCATCATCTTTGGTCAAAGTCCAAAGAAAGAAACCCTTAAGAAATATTCTTGACCTGCGTGGAAACCAATCTGGAAGAATTTTAGTCTGAGACTCATCCTGACTCCTTTCATCCTGACCTACTCAGATCCGTAACATTTCACGGTCCATGTTCTACCGAATAGTGGAAAAAGTATCGTCCTCGGAATAGAATGGATCTGGGTGGGGATTTTAATCTTAGGTATGCTTTTCTGCATATCAGGTTGTATTCTTTCACCATACTTATGCTGAGCAAATAATCTGAGAAGCACCCCCAAGCTTCCCTGTGTTCTTTCCCCTACCCTTTTAATTGCTGGAGTCATGGTGTGCACTGAAGGATAAGCACTAGGCTGGTAAATGCGAAGTTAGAAAAACGTGGCATCAGGATTGGAGGAAGACTCATTAACAACCTGCGATATGCTGATGACACAACCTTGCTTGCTGAAAGTGAAGAGGACTTAAAACATTTACTGATGAAGATCAAAGACCACAGCCTTTGGTATGGATTACATCTCAATGTCAAGAAAACAAAAATCCTCACCACTGGACCAATAAACAACATTCTTATCAATGGAGAAAAGATTGAAGTTGGTCAAGGACTTCATTCTTCTTGGCTCAACTATCAACACTCATGGAAGCAGCAGTCAAGAAATTAAGTGACGTATTGCATTAGGCAAATCTGCTTCACAAGTCCTTTTAAAGTGTTGAAGAGCAAAGATGTTAGCTTGAGTACTAAGGTGTGCCTGACCCAAGCCATGGTATTTTCAGTAACCTCATATGTATGAGTAAGCTGGACAGTGAATAAGGAAGACTGTAGGAAAATTGATGCTTTTGAGTTATGGTGTTGGAAGAGAATATTGAAAATGCCATGGGCTGCCAAAAGAACCAATAGATCCGATTTAGAAGAAGTGCATCCGGAGAGCTCCTTGGAGGCCAAGATGGCCAAACTTCATCTCTCATACTTTGGACATATTATCAGGAAGGACCAGTCACCGGAGAAGGATATCATATTTGGTAAGGTGGAGGGTCAGAGAAAGAGAGGAAGACCCCCAACGAGATGGATTGGCCAAGTGGCAGCATTGATGGACTCAAGCATGGCAACAGTAGTGAGGTTGGCCCAGGATCATGTAGTATTTAGTTCTGCTGTGCATAAGGTCGCTATAGGTCGGTACTGACTCGATGGCCCCTAACAACAACAACAACATGCTTTTCTGCATATCGGAAGTCATGTAACGTTCCTAATGAAGTTGATCTGCCAAAACCAGTATGATTCTCCGTGTTAGTTGATTTCCCTGGACCTGGAGACTAGAAAGGAGAGTAATGTTGACTCATGCCAACTGGTTTTCTTTAACTACTTCCCTGGGTTCTCCTCAGCTTTTGTGGTGGACAGATCATAAGGCAATCTGACCAGAGCACTGGTAAACTGAACTGGAATAATGGAAGTTTGATCATCTGGAAAGATCCTAAGACTCACCAAGTTATTCAATGCAGCAAGTCAGGTAAGGAGACCAAAATCCCCTCTCCTTAGATGAGGGCTGTGACAGGGACAGGAAATGATGTCACATAAACACTATCAAGTGTCATAGAAGCTTGCCTCCTTCTCTGTTCTGTCTCCCTTCTACTAGTCTCCCAGTCAGCTGAGTCTCACAGATCTGCACACACACACACATCTACAAAGCCTGAGAAAAGTCAGACATCATCAGGGTACTTTTGTTGTTTTGTTTGTTGTTAAGTACCATGGAGTCGGTTCCGACTCATAGTGACCCTGCACAGGGTTTCCAAGGCTGCAAATCTTTATGGGAGCAGAAAGCCTCATCTTTCTCCTGCGGAACAGCTCTGGTAGCATAGTGGTTACGAATCGGGCTGCTAACCTCAAGGGTACTCTTGTTGTTGTTGTTGTTGTTGTTGTTGTTGTTGTTGTGAAATACCGTCGAGTTGGTTCAAACCCACAGCGACCCTGTATAGGGTTTCCAAGGAGCAGCTGGTGAACTTGAACTGCCAACCTTGCAGTTCAAACGGCTTTACAGTCTTAGGTATATAAAAATGGTAAGGCAAGTGGTGGTGAATTTTCAGCCAGTAGGATTCACATTAGCATCTCTAGTCCCCAGAATGAGAAACTGATGTTATAGCCAGGGTAGGTTGGATTGGGGAGGAGAGAGAAGAAGGTAGAGAGAACAGAAAGGAGATTTGTTCCCTTTCCTAATTCTGATTTTGCCTTAATCCTCATCCTCATTTCTCCTCGGTCCACACTTGCCCTCCTCCCTTACCACCCAGTTTGCCACCCCTGCTGCTCCCCCCACCTCCAGTTGAACATGGCATCCGAAGCAGAGAAAACTTTCCAGCGGTTTGCTGTCTTTGGAGACTCATCTAGTAGTGGTACTGAAATGAACAACAAGAACTTCTCCAAGCTATGCAAAGACTGTGGCATCATGGATGGCAAGATGGTCACATCTACTGACGTGGACATCGTTTTCAGCAAAGTCAAGTAAGGAAACAGTGACGCACAGGCATGGAAGGAGAGTGAGGGCAGGGGAGTGGAACACAGATGGGAGAAAATGAACAAGGTAGTTGAACATGCAAGAGTTTATGTGGCAGAACATTTGTAGTGAGTCTAGTAAGCACCCACTGGGGTACCCGTTGTTATGGTGAAGTACCATTGAGTCGGTTCATAGCAACCCTGTATAGGGTTTCCAAGGAGCAGCTGGTGAGTTTGAACTGCCAACCTTGTAGTCTAGTGCATTATTCTGCAGTGCCACACCAGGACTGGGGTACCTAGCACTGTGCTAGTCCTTGTCTTTAAGACATCCTGTGATAGAGCTAAAGAGGCCAAATCTAACTAAGGCAAGGATTGGCTCTTGAAAGGTAGATGAATTCACATCCCAGAGTTCCTCCATTTCTGTCTGACTGCTAGGGCCAAGAATGCCAGAACCATCACATTTGCACAGTTCCAGGAGGCAATGAAGGAGCTGGGCCAGAAACGGTTCAAAGGGAAGAATCCAGATGAAGCCCTCGAGAACATTTATAAACTCATGGAGGCCAAGGACCCAGCCACTACCAGTGCTACTGTGAGTAATATTTCCCCCTAACCCTTCATCCTGAAGTCTTGATGTGGGACTGTAGGAAAAGATCAGCAGTTCAAGCCAACCAGCTGCTCCTAGGAACCCTATACTGAGAGGCTATGAGTTGCAAATGAATCAATGGCACTTGACAAAGACAACCCTTGGCCCTACTTTCCTAAATTCCTGATGTTCCAGTCTCCCTTGCTACCCCCAAATGTCCCTAGCTCCTGTCAACAGCATAACTATATGGAGACAGGACAAAAAGCCTCTCAAGCACTGTTGGTGTTGGAATCAGTTTTAGAGATCACCTTGTCATTTTCAGGGGTGAGGGTGAGGACACTATGGCCCAGAGAGGAGAAATGGCTTTTACCCAAGGTCCATATTGTCTTCGAGTCATTCTCAGAGCTCCAGTATCTCAGGCCATGCAACTAGGGGTTGGTGGTTTTGTGGGGACGGAGAGCTCAGAGGACTTGATGCCTAACTCCACTCTTCTTTTCTGTTCTTAAAACAAGATCTAATCTCTGGCCTGCTACCTCCCCCACCCTCTGTTCTCTAACTGTTCCCTCTCTACTAAAAGCTCTTTACACCCTGGTTTCAAATATGGCCCTCCCAATAGGCAGGACTTTGTATATTGGACCTGGTCTTGAAGTCTGCTGATCAGAATAACTTTTCTGGAAATCATTCTCCCTCCTTCTACATACCCCATATATTCCCATATATCAGACTCCTCTCTCGCAAATGGATGGCTCTTGCCCCAGTTACAACTGGTCACTAGCACCATGCTAGGAGCAAAGCAAGAGTTCTGAGAACTAGAGCTATCTAAGCCTGTCTTTAAGAAGGTGATTTGACAGTGGAGAGGAGGGAAAGGGGTGCAAACCAATCCTCCTCTGACTTGCAGAAAGCCACAACGGTAGGTGGAGTGGACCGGCTGACAGACACCAGCAAGTATACTGGTTCCCACAAGGAACGCTTTGATGAGAGTGGTAAAGGCAAGGGCCTCGCAGGACGGGAAGACGTGACTGACAACTCTGGCTATGTGAGTGGCTACAAGGGTGCTGGCACCTATGAAAAGAAGTAGAGTGGAGCTTCATCTTAGCCTGGCAGTTCCTGACCCTACATCTTCAACATCAGGGAGCATGGGAGACAATAAACATCTGTATGTGCAGCAGCTAATGAGCCCTGTTTTCCACTGGAGTGAGGAACAGATGGGTCCGTTGGTGCAAAAAGAAGAAAAAGACAGAAGCCTCAGTATTTCCAGTCACTTCCCTACTCAGCTTCATACCTCTCACCCATAACCCATAGCATTTCCCTCAACAATTGCTTCTGAGAATAGAACTTGGGGATATATTTGGAGATAAAAGATGAACCAGATGTGGAGATCATAGTATTAGCTACTTGTGTCCACACATTGCTGGTATCTAACCCTGTACCTTCCCAAAGGGAGTAGCAATTCCCAATTTGACATGTTTTTAGGTGCCTTTCAGTCAGCTCCAACTCAGTGACCTTGTGGGTTTTGTTGTTGTTGTTGTGTGCCGTGGAGTCGGTTCCGACTCATAGCGACCCTACACAGGGTTTCCGAGGCTGTAAATCTTTACGGGAGCAGACTGCCTCATCTTTCTCCCGCCGAGCGGCTGGTAGTTTCGAACTGCTGGCCTTAAGGTTCGCAGCCCGATTCGTAACCACTACACTACCAGAGCTCTTTTGACCTTGTGGGTAACAGAATGAAATATTGCCTGATCCTGTGCTGACTTCAGGATTGTTATGATTGAATCTATGTCTTTGGCTATTGTGTCAAGCCGTCTCATTGAGGGTTTCCCTCATTTTGGGGGCTCTCTACTTTACCAAACTAGGAGCAGTGGTGTCATTGTGGGTTATGGGTTGGGCTGCTAACTGCAAGGTCTGCTGTTTGAATCCACCAGTGTTCCAAGGAAGAAAGATGAGAACTTCTGCTCCCATAAAGATTTACAGCTTTGGAAACTCTATACAGAATCGCTGTGAATCAGGACCAACTTGACAGCACATGCCTACCTCTAACCACTTCACTAAACCTAATGCCCTTTTCTAGAAATTGGTCTTTCCTGATGACAAGTCCAAAGTAAGCAAGCCAAAGTCTCACCATACCACCTACTGTCCCTCCACCTTCCTCACCTGCTGCAATCCAAGTTTTGTTGCAGGGATAAATAGAAGCCAACTAAGGTGTGTCCTGGTGTGGGACTGTAGGATGAGTGATAACCCCAAGGTTAGAGGTTCAAACCCACCAACTGCTTCTTGGAAACCCTATCAGAGTCACGTCACTATGAATTGAAACTGACTCAACAACACTTAACAATGACAACAAAGTGGGTTAAAGATGCACTCAGATTCCTATTTTGAGCTTACCCTAGAGCTGGGGGGAGGGGAGGGGAAATGAGGTGGGGTCGAATCTGCTTTCAGCATGCACTCCAGAACTGAGCTTTATCCCACTCCCCCTCCATCATGGTACGCATGGCACACATGGCCCTGCAAAATGGCCAGAGGTAGATGTCCACCAGTCCTCCAAGAGTGGGGAATTGAGGAAAAAGCAATTAAATCAGAACTGAGTTAGATATATTTTTAACATTTTTTTTTTTAATGATTTACAGGGAGTTGCAAAAATAGTATAGAGAGGTCTCATGTACCCTTCATCCCATTTCTCCCAGTCGTTATATGTTATATCTTTTGCAGTGTGGTTTTAAATTTTTCTGAGACTACAGCTAGACATCCTATTCTCTGCATTGCTAGTCACAGAACCTGAAGTTTAGGGAATGTCTAAAGGAAGGAGCTACTGGAAGGAAAGGAAAGTCAAAATCTTTGGGGAGAATGTGCCAGAAAAGATAACTTAAAATTCCAGTGAGCCATGTTGAGAAGGCTGAAAGTAAAAGAGGTTGGAAAGGGGGAAATATGGCTACCAGAGGAGGATGGTAATGTTGAGGAAAGGTAGTGCTGGACTCCATGGGAGAAGGAGGGAAGCAAGGGGGCAGGTTACATAAAGGAAGAATCATTGATTTCATAGAGAGGAGCACACTGAAAACGGCAGGGAGTTCTGAGGAAATGCATTTCAGAGAGGTTCCTATAGCTAAAAGTACCTACTGTATGGGTGGTGAGTAAGAGGGAAAGTTATAGGGAAGTGGGGATAGACTGAAAAGAAAAGGGTGGTGGGGATGCAGAGATGTGATGAGAAAGTTGGGTGCTTGTTGCCATGGTGTGAGCTGAGGCTCTGGGCCTTCATCCAGGATCCAGAATCTGGCCCAGTGAACGGACAATCACTGCCAACTGGACAGAGTCAGCTTCTTGGGTGGGTAAAACTTTCCCTGGGAGAAGGAGAAGAGAGGAGGGGGTGGGGTGCTGTAGACAAGTTGCAAAGAGCTTAGGAGACAGTATGACTTAGTATGGTCACCAGAGCTCTGGACATTTTTTCTGTCTACCTGGTCTCTTAGGAGAAAAGAGTCCTGCCTGCCTTGGAAGACAAGAAAAAAATGCTTGTGCCAAGGATTAGTATTTTATGAATGGGGAAAGGCTAGTTCATGGTGGCAGAGATGGGGGCGTTCAGAATTAAAACTCCCCTTTTCTAGAAGATACCAATGACATCTAATGGTTCAGCATTATACCTGCGGGAACAGAGCAGGTAGAGCCTGCTGTTGGTTAGGGTAGTATTGTAGCGGCAACTGGTGGGTGGGTAGCTCTGGATCCACTGGCAGATTGTGAGAGGGAAGGAGTCCTTGGTTATTGTGCAGTATTGGTTGTAGCTCACACAGAAGTTCTCACTATGCATGCAGTACTTCCGGATGGATTGGATGGGAACATGTACCATATAATGGATCTTTGGACAATTCCACTTTTGCATTGCACCACGCACATAGGCCATAATACCATTACAGTAGCCCTGGAAACTGTCTTCATACTCAACCCGAGGGAAATCGATGAATAAGTGTTCAAAGTTCTTAATGGCACGCTGTATGTTGATACCCAGGACCAGAGTTGGTCTTAGAACAAGCTGGAGAAACAGCCAGCCCACCACAGGTGTCATTCCTCCTGCTGATAGAGTAATTGTGGTTAGAGGCAGGGATAGGCCTGTGTGGGCCTTCCTAGAGCCTCAAGCACCCCCAACCTTCCCTGTGTTCTTTCCCCTACACATTTAATTGCTGGAGTCATGGTGTGCGCTGAAGGATAAGCACTGGACTGCTAAATACAAAGTTAGTTGTTCAAACTGACCAGCCGCTCCTCAGGAACCCTATACAGGGTTGCTAGTAGTTGGGACTAACTCAACAGCACTTAACAGCAGCAACAACACCTCAGTAATCATCCAGCCCAGTTATCAAGACTCGAAAACATAAGGAGATGCTTATGCAAGGTCAACCAACTGGTCAGCTACCTTCAATTAGTCTCCCTTTTACCTTGGTCTGCCTCAGGGACTCAGTCTTACCTGGTCTGTGAGCTACAACACTTGCAGAATAAGCGATTCAATTGTTTCTTGGATGAGAGACTCTTCCCAATTATCTCTGGCTACTGGCCTCCCTTCTGGTAAAAAGAAAAGAAAAGAGAGTGGATAGGAGGAACTGGGCAAGCTAATGATTCACTGATTGCTCAAGAAAAAGGGCAGGAACTGAAAGACCAAGTGGGCAGGAGTAGGAGGGTAGAGGTTTCTACCTGAGGCCAAGGACAGCCCAGAAGTGATAAGAGACTAGGAAGGTTTCTGGATAGAGCCAAGTCAGGGAGGATAGAGTCTCTCATGAGTTTGATGATCCCGTATGCTGAGGGGACTGGATGGGTGGGAGGAATTTGAGGAGATCCTGTACTGAGGAGGTTGGATGAATGGTGTCATCAGAACACTTAGTTCCAACCTCTTTGCCAGAAGTCCCTAAGATATTAGGCTTTCCTTGATTTTTTCTTTTCTTTTGTGTATGTATGTGTGTGTGTTCTGGCCCATAGGCCCTGCTCCCACTGAAAGGTAAGACAGTAAGCATTGTCATGTTTCTGAGGAACAAAATGCTTCTCAGAGAACACAGGGTCCATCATTCCCACATCCCACTCATAGAACCTAAGGAGGCCATGTCCTATGCAGAGGCCGCCCACCAGAATGCTGGGTTGAAAATCAAAAACTTTCATGTGTACTTCACTGGGTAAGGTGGACTTCACTTAATCCACTAATGCCTTTCAGTGTAATCTTAGGCTCTGTAAGAACACTTCTAGAAATTTATGCATGCTAACCCTGTAGTCTCAAATTTGGCAGATTAAATTAGACACCATAGACTTGAGGGAATCTGAACCACCTGAGCCTAACCTGACAAATTCTTGGTATTAGTTGATCCTTGGGGAGTTTGTCATGCTAAGGAAAGATTATAACACTTTCTCATCCATATCTGCCCCTTCAGCAGAACCAAAGCACTACTCCTTGTGATCTGTCAGTCATTGTGCTTGACTTCCACAGACTTTCAGCCTTGTCTCCTTACAGGGTGTCCTCAAGTGATAGGCTTCCTTTTAGGAGAGACTTATCACCCTCACCCTGGAGAGCAGGAGAGCAAGAAAGAGGAGTCAGAAACCAGAATCAGGCCCACAGTATGACTCTGGAGGAGGAGTGGGGGCCTCCTCCACAGTACAGCTCAGTGATGAGGCCACAGAAAGACAATGTTTTCTCACTTCACTGGTCCCCTAAACATACTGTGCCCACAAACCAGAGTCCAAAATTGAACCTATCTTCCCCACAACTTGCTTCTCCTTCTGTGTCCTCTATCTCAATTTCCTCAGTTTCCTATGCAAGAAACCAAGGAAGACTTTCAGGCAATCAAAAAACATATGAAGAAATTTCCACAATCATTAGCCATTAGATACAAATCAAAACAACAGTGAGCTATCTCACACCAGCATTAACAGCATAGTTAAAAACAAACAAACAAACATGCTGGTGAGGATGTGGAGAGGCTGGGACCCTCCTACATTGCTAGTGAGATTGTAAATCATTCAATCCCTCTGGAAAGTGGTATGGCAATTCCTCAGAAAGTTGGAAACAGAAATATCATATGACCCATCAATCCCTCTACTTAGTATATATCCAAAAGAAATATGAGCTAGTACACATGGCTCATATATGCATACCAATGTTCATCACAGCATTATTCACAAAAGCAAAAAGATGGAGACATCCTAAGTGCCCATCAATGAAAGAATGTATAAACAAACTTTGGTACATACATACCATGGAATAATATGCAACCTTGAAGAATAAAGATGAATCGACAAAACACCTCATAACATGAATTAACCTGGAAGACATTACACTAAGTGAAATTAGTCAATCACAAAAGGACAAATATTATATGAAACCATTATTATAAAAGCTTAAGAAAATATTTCCATACTAAAACACTCTTTAATGGTTGCCAGGGGTAAGAGGGAGGGGAGAGTAATTCACTGGCTAAAGGGTAGATACATGTTAGCTTGGGTGATGGGGAGGGCAATACATAAGAAGAGGGAGGGTGGTAGATGAACAATGAAGATAGGGGATGACTTAAAGAGGTATGCATGGGCTTAATGGTATAGAGGTAATTAGTGATTTACATACAACCTTGGAACAACAGTGTTCTATGAGTAGATATATGGATCAAGACATAGGCTGGATGGGTAAAGGAAGGGGGAAATGTTTATGTGTTTGACTGCCTTGTAGATACAGCTTCTCACTGTCTATTATTGTAAAATAGACATTTATGTGCAATAGAAATGAATATTGGGAATTATGGCTGCAGAAAATTTATAAGCCTGTCTTCAGTCTATAACTAATTGGATTTGCTAAAAGGGAAATTATAATTTGCCCAGGAAAATAAGCTTCTTTTTTAAAATTTTTATTATTAATTGAGTGAAGGTTAACAGACAAGATCATCAATTTTACTTTCAATCAATCATACATTTTGTTTCATCTAAAAGATTACAATCGTCTCCCTGCAACAACAGTTATCCTTCTTCCTCCCTGTGGTTTCCATTTTACATCTTATTTTTCACAAATCAACAAAACAAAAATATTTGATGTATACATATGAAACAAACAAACAAA